TGCAAACATAACGATTGAGGAATTATTCGATGAAACAAAGCCTCAATCATCACACGATGCAATCAACACTTCTGAAATCATGTCCCTGGAAGCTGAAGCTTCTCATGCTTCCAAAGTCAGATCAGGAACAACTGAAGATTCAAAAACGGTGCAACCAGTATTGGACATTTCCTTGGATGATGTTTTCGCAGGAACATCCGGCGGGCAGTCAAAGAAACAGTCCATCGACTTCGACAAGTACATCCAAAGAGGGCGTGAACTTAAAGAATCATCTACAGGAGGATTCAATACTACTGTCAGAAATGTGGATGCTGTCGATGTATGTCCCCGAAAATCGTCACTACCAGATGCCAATATTACTATGGAAGAGTTATTCGATGAAATCAAAACTCAACCAGTGATTCCTCATGTCAAAAATTTTCATGGGAAACTCGATTCTGTCAATTCAGAAAAAAGAGAAAAATTATTTGAATCAGACAATTCGATAGATGATATTTGCTTAAATCGACAAGAGTCTCTTCCAACTCCTCCCAACTCCTTGTGCGATTCATCGGAGGAACTGTTCATTGATTCGAGTTTACCTGTGGAAGAGAAGGACTCAGATGCTGTTTCGGATGATGATGGTTAGTTTTAATATTTGTTCAAATTATGAAGTTGCATTTTCAGATGAAAACACAGATCATCGAACACGTTCAAGATCTGTGACCTCAATGAATGGGAAGAAAGTTTTCACTGTAACATTCCCTGGACAGACAGATGATGTAGAAGAAGCAGAACCTAGTATTCTATCTGGACCTCGGCCCGAAGCAACAAGGAAAATCCGAAAACCGACCCCGAACATTGAAAGAACAAGTGTATTTGACATCTTCAACATCATTTCTGGAGATAACGCTGAAGAGGAGAAAAATTTGAAAGAGTCGAATGATTCCGGTAGTCCAATGCCAAACGTTTTATATTATAATGAATGCCTAGATGACACATCTTCTGCTTCATCATCCTTTATACAAATGGAGAGACGCCCTATAATACCTAGGATTCATTCCACTTCTCTGACAGTATCTCTGGATGATTTAGGCAGAAGTGAACACGAAAATAGTCATATAATTACATCCCAAGCTTACGAACTACCAGAAGGGTTCCCAACTGCGGTCCCTTCACGCAGAGCTTCAAGATACTCTGTTCGAACAGACGAATTGGATGAAAATATTTCATGTCATAACTATGTTCGCACCAAGACAAGAACTCATAACAGTGACTTTTCTGATTTCTATAACGATCTCAAATCACCTCCTCGTACGCCAATAAAATTGAAAAGAAGGTTTGTTCACTCTTTTCATCATTTGTTGTGAACCCTACAATGTAACTTTTCTTCAGAAGCATCGATTTCTATTATGAAGAGCCTATGGAAATGCCAGTTGAAGAAGAAGTTGATGTTCAAGATTTTGTTGATGAAATTCTAAACCAATCCTTAGATGAAGCAGCTTTCTTAGCGACATCTAAGCACATGTCGTTCAAAAAAGAAGGTTTGAATCAGTTTTCTGTATTTTTTCATTGAGTGCTTGTGATTATAGTTCCACGTTCAACTGACACTTCTATCGATCGTAAACAATCAGAAGCTGACTCTCAAATATTCTCCGATATGGCTTTTAGTTCCATATCAGCAAATTCTGAACATATGACTGACCATGTTTTTGTTTCCTCCACAAATAGGTAAACTAAAGTACATATATCGAATAACACATTATCTCTCCTAATATAGAAATTCGCTGTATGAAGCGATCTTAACGTGTCCTGAAACTGACAACGTTCCCTTGTCACCTACCTCATATCCGTTTGTCTAGATACTCACTGCGTTTTTCATGAAATTTTTTTAAGGAGAGAAGAACAGAAAATGGAAACCATCGATATGAATATCGATTTGGCTCAGAAAACGTTTATAAGTGAAGCTTCTGTTGTTTTGAAGGAAAATCAATCCGAAGATTATATAGTTCGGCTGCTATTCCCAGAAAAGCCAGAAGTATGTTCACTTCCTCTTGAAATCAAACATTAGTTCATCCTTGTTCACATTCAAACTGTTGTGATTAACACTAGTGGTAGATGAGGGAATCAATGGCTCGACTAACGAGCTGAATGAAACACAACCGTTCGCACGTATTTTGAGAAACAGAATGAACAAAAGATCACGTAATTCACGTGAGATCTCTGATTTAACGATACGAGAACACTTCCTGACTTGAAGTCACGTCACAAACATGTTCGTTTTACAGGAAACAATAATTGTTCAAGAAGACTACGAAGAAAGTGATGATCAATCAAAGAATACAACGAATGTGACGTCAAACATTAAGCATATCATAGAAAAGGTGACATTTCGCTTTTTTTTATGCTTATAAAAATCTAAGAAAACAAAGAAAAAAAAGAAGATAAATCAGTCTCGAAAAAAAAAGTTCCGCTGTGACAGGCTGTTGTAATGATAGTCACGTATACTGATAGTCCGCGACAAGAAATATAGAAACATATATAAAGACTTAGAAGGATATCATGATAAGAACGTTCTTCAGATGGCTCCTCAACAGAAAGATGATGAATATTTAGAAGTTGAAGTTAATTCAGAATACTTCATCATTCATGGAAAGTACTCCATGATAATACATAAGGTACGTTTCGCAGAAGGAAGAATATGAAAATGCATTTTTTGTTCAGACAGAACCATTGGGAGAAATGTTGTCTAAGATTCAAACAAGCAGTTTAGACTTTACGGTGACTCCGAAACTTCGTAAAATACTTAGACAATGCTTGCATAACAAAATATCCGGAAACAATGGTAATGTGAAGTAGGTTAAGGGAATCATATCTGCTACTATAGGAACTGATATCTCCTCTCGTGCTTTTCACATGTTAAACAGGGCAGATCCAGCTTATGACAATTTGAACAAAATGGCGTTGAATCGCTTCACTGAAAACAATCGCAGTGTAAGCTTCAGAATAGAATTCAATTGTGAATATCAATTATTTTAGGGAAATATCAACTTCTGCACAGCTGAGAACATGGTATGCCGTCCGCTCTTACAGCATCGGATACGAGAAAATTTGAACATCGTGGAAGAACACCTGTTTCATTACGCGCCAGGAGGAGGATACGATGAGTAATCATGTTTTTTAATAACAAGTCTAATATGGCTTTCAGTGTAAAAGAAACCATACTTGGTTATCTCAAAAAGTTCATGAGAGGAACTCATGTCCAAAAAAGAGATTTAACTCTTGTCGGATCAGGCAATACTTGTTACGATCTAATCTGTCATTGCCTGTATGAAAGCGAAGGTTTCTATAATTCCCTTATCATATGTATGCCAATTATTATAGATGTTATTCTTACGAATACACCATCCTATGCCAGATTATTCCTTGATTGTTCTGAGAGAGCTGGTTGTCGAGTTGAAGCAGTTCCGGTAAACTGCTTGTATCTCTTCTAATGTCAGATTGCTCTTTTTCAGATGGATTTGAACAAGTTAGAAATTGATCTTCAAGCTTTTGAAAAAGTTTTAAACGAGCAAAGAGAACAGGTTTTTCCATGTTTCGATATAAGCTGTACCGTACTGTTTTACAGGGGAATACAGTCAAGGGGATCGTTTTGATTAATCCAAATAATCCGCTAGGAATAACATTCCCAAAATCACAAGTGTTAGCATTAGGAGATTGGGCATCGGGGTAAGCTTTTATATCAAACTCTTACTTTACCAAAATAACTTTAGTAACGATCTCAGTCTAATAGTCGATGAATCTTTCTCCAACTCCAATTACGGAGACGGGGAAAGTGAATCTTTCCTGTCTTATCAGCATGAACTGAAAAACCCTTCAAAAGCTGTTTGGTTTTGGAGCTTGTCGAAGGTTTGCTACATACATATTACACTCGTATTTACCCCAACTATTTGCATAGGATTTTGGTTTACCGGGTGTTAAGATAGCCACTCTCCACACTCCGAACCCATCGTTGAATGAAGCAATATCAGCGTTAGAACTGATTTATCCAGTGTCCGCTCTGGCTCAGGATTTCGCATCTAATCTATTATCAGATTATGGTGAGTGTGAAAATTGCTGATTCTAACTTGAGAGCAATGATTCAACTGAGAACTCGGTCTCGATCGGTCGAAGTTCATTTTTTCTCTCAGCTCTGCAGACTTTTCAATTTCAACGGCGGAGTTTTTCAAAATATGCTGTTGATCATCCCCTTTCGGAGATTATTAACAAAGTTTGTACATAACTCACTGTCTTATTGTTTTGCAGATTGGGCTGAACAATTCCATAAAACAAAGAATTACCGAATCGGTAAGCATTACGAATTTGTTGCTGCGAATTTGAGAGCTCTCAATCTTGATTTCATCACAGCCACCTCAGGGTTCTACGTCCTTGTCGATTTCAGACAGGTATGAAGACTTTTGAAAAATAAGCTCATGATAAAATTCGTAGAAAATGAAAAGCCGCACTTTTGAAGAAGAAGACAAAGTTTGGCACTTACTGATAGCTAATGGAGTTTTCATGACAAGAGGGAAGGATATGAGATGCGCTCAACCAGGTTGGATGCGTCTCGTTTTCGGTTGTGACAAAGATCAAGTTGAAGAAGGTTTGCTCACAAAATTAAAACTAGTTTGTACTTTGTACTGTTTAAGGAATCCGAAGATTACACAAGATGTTCGGAAGTACTGCCAATGTAATTGGTTCAATTAACTATTAGATTCCATTTTAGTTTTAACTATATTTCTAGAGATTTTTACATAAAATATTATGAAACGTCTTCCAATGAAGTACATGAGGATGAAAACACACTTTATACAAAGTACCAGTAAACAATATAAATAACTATACAATCTCACCAGCTCTCTGAAACATATAATAACTCCTAGAAGATAAAAACGAAATTACTTTCTAAAATGGCACCCAAAGAGATGACGTTAAACCTTATGTTACTCATCGAACTCATCAGAATCTCTAACTTTCCTGGCGCAGATGATGAACATTCCGTTTATCTCATACATCATGCACTTTTTGTCTTTCACAATACGAATTCCTGCCTCATTCAAAGCATTCAGCATGTCTTCTTTGGTAATGTACAAGCAACTGAATTTGCGTCCGCCGAAAGAGCACCACGTTTCTTCCAATATTCCACCCATCACCAAATAGCCTGAAAAAGAGAAACTGTTAGCGAGATGTTTTTTTTGGTCTGACGGAACAATATTAGAACAACCGTTCTCGACTCTAGTTAAAGCAAACAAATGAAGTTTAAAATATAACTTGACGTCATTCACACGTCAACACAGGTTCACGTGGATTAGTTACGTCATCTATGCTGGCTTTTTTTGTTGAGCTTTATGGGGTTTAAACAAAACAAGGTTGTTTGAAGAATTTTCTGGAAGTTTTTTTTTCTCATCCGACAAATGTCTTTGTATGCAAGGCTGAAGTCAGATGTTCTAATGTGACATGTGCTGTAGGGGAAGTATATCTTCTTCCAGAATTTTTCCGCATTTGACGTCATTTCTCAGGGATAATGTGACTAACAGTGAACGTTAAACAAGCGTTATCTATAATGACTGGGAAAAGAGGAAGAAATAAGAGAAGATGAAAGAGTTTCTAATGGCAGGTAGCCGTTTGAATCTGTAATTTCGTCCTCTTAACAAACTGAGATCTTTGTTCTATCATTCAACGGATGCGGAGATGTTTATAGAGATCTTTCCTATTTCATCCCTTGCAAACTATTCAAAGATATACCTCCGGGCTTAATTTGATCCGCAATATTTTTGATGGCCGACTTGTACTCATCATATGTATTACAACAATATTCAATACAAAATATTGTGACGACAACCTACAACATTGATTTTGTCTCAAACTATATGATTCGCATAACTTACATCAAATGTTCCCAATAGGATTGTTGGAGCTTCCAAGGAAGGGTTTGCAAAACAATCACAATGATGGATAGATCTGACCTGAATGTTAGGTTATACTTCAGCAAGCTTTTTCAATTCTTTTTTTCTCTTCCTCTCTCTCTGTCGAACTCTCACTTTCTCATTTATTTGGCTGTGAGGACGTCGTAATTGCTTTCTTCTTCATTCTATTTTCTTTAATTTTTTTTGTTTCAAACTCTCGTAAATGATCTCAAAACGAAGAAAAGTTCTCGAACCTTCTTTCTGGTCAACAGTTGGACGTTATCGAGAGTAGTCCAATCCTGCCCTTCTTGAGTTAAAATGATTTTCAAGGTGCTGCTCCAATCAAACTGGGAGTTGCCATTCTTCCATTTGATAAGCTCTTCACGATTTTGTGGCAAATAGTCAGCAAGATATATCTGAAAACAACTAATATTTGATTACATGACGAAAACAAGAAATAAGATCATTGGCAATATTTCCAGCAAAACGTTCTCAAAATACTGCAATCAGCTGAGATATTTCATCGGTGTCTATTCGAACTCTTTCATCAACCAATTGTTATTGTCACAGATCATCAATGTTGAACAAGTTTTGTTTTTTTTCATCTTTCTACCTACCTCATCAGATGAGTTTCGGAAACAAGCAGCCACATGAATAGTTGGTCCCGCACCGAAATCCAGAAGACGATTTATATTCCCAATACGAGCAACTATATTTGGCAAATATTTAAGGACCATCTGCATCGCTGGCTCATCAATCCTACTATAAAAATCCTAGAAAAAGCAAAAAATGTCTGTTTTATCCTGTACATTTGAAGTTCAAACCTCCAAATAAGCATCCGTTTTGAACTCTTCCAAAAAAGTCGAACGATCAAGAATGTTTTCGGGAGACTCTGCTCTCTTTGTATAAACCGGAGTTATGGCTTGAATTTCGTAAGAGAAAACAGAAGACATGTTAGTTTCCGTAGAGATGAGTCAGCAAGAGAGGTTAAAACAACTTGCAAAGCTCGAAACTATTTTGGACAATTTTCAGATTAATCTTGCTGCTTCAGGAACACCAAGTTCCTGAATAGGCTGGTGCCAGATGAGATGAGCCTCAGATAGCGAGTAGAGGAAGCCTAACTAAAGACTTCAGGTCAAACACAATGAAAAAGAACTAGCGAAGCTTCGCACCGAAGGAGCTTTGTGAAGACTGACAAACTAACTGAGCTATTCTCGAAGGCAATAAGAAAGAAAACTAAAAACTTGAAAACGAGAAGAGACTGAGAAGAAAGAATGAGCACGAAATACTGTTGAAAAGACGAGATCGTTTGAAAAACATTGAAGAAAGATGAGAGAGCTAAGCGTCAGATAAAAAGGCAAAGGTTTAAAGAGGGTGGAGTCATATCACAGCCTTCGAGACACTTGTCGAGAAAATCCGTTCTTTACAAAACAGAGCAAAAGGCTCTTCTTTCAATCTCGATTGCAATTTCTAACAGTTTCATCGTGCTATTACGAATAAGATCAAAATGAAAGTATTGATGCCTCAGTACAAGTCTATTACGGATTGCAAGTATTACTATCATTCTTCAAATACAGAAAAAAAAGAAATATTGTGTGAATGATATGCCATCAAGAAGTGGATGAACAAACAAAATCCTCGACTATCCCTTCTCTGCAATTTAAAAAAAAACAAAAAAAAGTTACAAAAATATTTATATGTTTTTAAAAAAAACAAAATGTATAAAGGCTAGCGTATCGCAGAAACAATTCCTAATCTAAACAAAATCCATTTTTGAACTATAAAACTCTTTGAAGAATGAATTTTAAATAAATGAGACCAATTTCATTAAGATAAGAATGTTTTAATACCTGTAGTGTTTTTCTTTTTTCTTTTATATATATATATATAAAAATAAAGTAAAATACACATGAAGTTGTGAACGACCCAATAGTTCACCAAGAGTTTCACGGAATTTCTTTTTTTGCTGTTGTTGTTCTGAATAAGAAGAAGTAAGAGAGAGAGAGGGGGAGAGAGGGAGAGAAGGAGATCAAGGCGCGAATAAACGAAAAAGTAGTTAGTCTAGCTTAAAATCATATATGTACATCTTTTGTTCTCTATAAAAATTATGATTTCGATTCTTTCGATCCGAATTGACAATCAAATAAAACTCGGGAAATTTCGAGACGAGCCAGAGCGAATGTCCTTGCGTCCATCCCTGATAAAGTCTTATGAATTGACCGAACAAACAGAGAAACCTGTAACAAATGATGTAATAAGAATAAAAATTAAAGAAAATGAATCAAGTTACCTCTGTATCTTCTAATTCATCTTCACCTTCATCCATTCTACGTTTACGCAATTGATGGAGAGACGTTCCAGACGTTGATGCTACCGGAGCAGGAGGTGATGGCTTCTGTATATCCGACGCTTCCAGTTTTGGGAGAGGAGCCTAAGAAGATCAAATTGATCAATCAATATTGTTCAGTAAACTACATACCTCCGGAGTATTAACCAATATATTATTACTATTATTTGAACTAAGGAAAGAAGCATAAAATCCTTTCAAAGGATCGATCTCTGTTTCGCCTTCACCAGAATCACTTCCATCTTCTTCCTGGCGATCAGTGAAACTATCGGTTGGGCAATCTATGAGAAAAATGAAAATAGAAAAAGGAAAGAGTAAAATACAAAACCTTGATGAGCGACTTCTTCTCTTTCCGGATTTGACATACTCGTCAACATTTCTCCTCTCTTCCGTCTATTACGATGTTCAACGTAAGGATCGAGAAATGACATTTTTTGATAATAAAAATACCTAAAAAATATATAATAAATAAATGAATATGCATATTGATGATGATAACAAACCATTTATCCGTTTTTTTGAGTGGCTGTGTTGTTTTAACAACTTTTCGAAGTCTGACATATCGATCTCTCATATGTCTCCATTTACGCTCCAACTCTACCGCCGGTCCTTAAAATAAGAAAATGCTTTAAAAATAAGGAAATATCTCGTATACTCACCTCCATAATTGACTTCTTTGGCAACTAAACTCCATATATGAGTCTTATAATCAGCCATTTTATGGAGAGGATGACATCTTTAATGGTTTTCATTCAATTTCTTACACAAAAATATCTTTTTTACCTATTATATATACATTGATTTTTCTCTACAGCATCAATCAAACGAATCTCAAACAAATCATCCGCATTGCATGGATACTGTGGAGCCTGAAATTAAAAAAGAAAAATGAGCTTTAAGATGTGAAAATGAAGAAAACTAACTCCTTGAGCATCTTCATCCATGCCTACAGTATCAAATTCTAAAGAACCTTTTTTGTCTTCTAATTCATTAAAAACAACTGATGCGTTTGTTTCCACTGGCATTTTTTTTTTCGTTTCAATCAGAAGAAACACTCGAAGGACATCTAAATAACAATATAAATAAGCTTATAAAATAGAATAATATGTGAACGAAGCTTACAAGTACACGAAATCAAACGAGGCTATATGATTAGTCAACTTTTTTATGCGAAACTATTGAAATATGTTTTGTTCTGAGTCATCCGAAATCATTCATTTTATTAGTCATTTGTAAGAGAACCTTCTCTCTTTCTATCGTTTCTTTTTTTTTGTCATTCAATAAAAGGGATTTTTGAGAGAAAATGGACAAGGAAACTTCAAAGACAAGGAAAATGAGCTCATCAGACACGAACTGAAAGATTGTGCGTTAACACTCAAAGATAAGAGAATAAAATGATTAATAATTTAAATTATAGATAAATAAAAATACAAATGACCTTTATTGGGGAAATTACAATTCAATCTGCCTTTTTTTCCAAAAAAAACAGAAGGAATTGGTTTCCCCTTCCTCTTTCTCTGCCACTCTCTTACTCTTCCTATCTCTCTCTCTCTCTCTCAGCCTCTTCTTTTTTCTCTCTCTTAACATTAATAAATTGAAAATGGAAAAAAAGCGAGAAAATAAATATTTGGAACGAGCATTTCGTATCGATAGGCAATCATAACGTAAGATAAGATAGAGGACGCAGCATCCAGTGAACATATCGGGAGGGGGAGGAGGTGGGCAGGCTTGCGAATGGTGCGCCGGTCATATGCGAAACTTTACGAATACTATACCATAACAGGAGAGAATCATAACAAAAGAGAGATGATTTAGCGCCAAAAACTTAGGAATGTATAAAGCGTACGTATACCGAGGTCGACGGAGTAGAACGTTAGCCTATTGGCAGAAAGAAATACGAAGAAGGGCTGGGATGTTACTAATAGCGGAGATGTTTCAGAAATAGATTGGTTTGTTGCCCAAAAAGTCACTTCTTTTGCTTATTTTCGTAGGAGAGATATGTCTTTGTGTTAGCAAATGTGTCGAACATAAATGAGAAAAACGAAAAAAAAGGAAGAAGTAAAGTAGAAATATATATGGAAGTAAGAAGAGACTGTCAAATGAACTGGATATCTGGCTCGTTGGTTAGTTGGTTGGTTGGTTATTTGGATGGCGTGGGTTTGGCTTGTGTGTATGTGTGCCTGCGTCTGCATGCAGAAGCATTAGCCGTGTGCAGATGATGATGTCTACATGGGTTGGCAGAGAGGATGACGTTTACCGACGGTTCCAAGACAACCAACCTAAAGGTTGTTGCATTAGGAGGGAGTGAGAGAGAAAAAGGGTAAAGCCTTTGTTGCTGACTCGAAATGAGTCTGTTGTGTGTATGGGGTGTCTCGTGCGTTACGATGAATCGATAGCGTTGTCGGGCAGAGAGAGCGAAAACAGCTGGGGTTGTGGCGTGGTGGTAGGAATGTGATGCAAAAAAAAGAGAAAAGAGAGATAGAAAGGAAATGAGAACAGGGCGGTTGTGTCGAGCATTTGAAAACGGCGAATGGAGATGAAAAAAGAAAGAAAATGAGAAAGATGACGTGAAGAGTAGAGAGTGGTCAAAGAAAATTGTATTGGAGAGTGAAAAAGATATACGAGGGAAGGAAATAGAGCGGCTTGGAAGAGACGAGACAAAAGTTGAAACAGAAAAAAATGGCATCAAGAGATAGTGTATATGTTGGAGAGCTGGTTAGATATATTCAACACTTCTCGGCGCTTAACGCAGGCGCATCGATTGCGCGCAGGCAATGCGCCAGGCTGAACAACCATCCAGCATTTCCATCCAAAATCATGTATGAACTTCGACTTCTTTTGGAAATGAATAAATTATTTTCAAGCATTTTTATGATGTAATCATTTTTGTTTAGCTCAATTCTGTTAGAATGACGAACGTTATTAAAATTGTTACGAAGCAAGAAGAAAAAAAAAGTGTCGGAAGGCGAATTGTGTGACATCCGAATTGACACGGAGGGTTTGGAAGAGACGAACGGAAGTTGAAAGGAGAGGGAAAGAAAAAAGAATTGAAGAAATTAAATGACGTAGGTGAGAATGTTGTGAGGAAAGGGCTAATGAAAAGCAGGAATGGCATACAGCTGGAAGCTAAGGAAAGTTGGTTTTTAAGTACCTCGAAAAGCTTAAACAGATGTAAATAAGTGTTGTTGAAAATGATTACTTGAAATGCTTTTGCTTTTGCCAGCTCATGCAAAACAGAAAAGGTATGGCATCGTGTAATAGTGGAGGTGGAAAAAGGGGTGATGATGTAGAAATAAAGAAATGATATAGAGGGAGAGAGAGGGAGAGAGAGAATGGTAGAGAGAGAATGGTAGAGAGAGACAGAAAGAGAATGAAAGAGAGAGACAGAAAGTGAGAAAAAAAAGTAAAGGAGATAGAAGAAAACACAAAAGAGATACGAAGGCGTAGGAAATACGAAAAAAGCGAAACGAATGATCTCATCTGACGCAAATATTTCACAAAACAAGTATCGTTAGTTGCTGGGTGCCAGGGCATTGCGTTATGAAAAACCCAATATCTCAAGTAGTTTCAAAAATTACGAGGTGAATATTCGCATTCTCTCACTTTTGCATTTTCTTCCTCTCTTTACCACTCCCTCTCTCTCTCTATCTCTCACACTGTCATTCTGAAGCCATGCCGAATGAGACTACGTTTTCCTACAACCTTTTTCACGGATGACAAGCACTACAACATCGAGACCGAAAATTCGATAGCTTTTATTTTATTGGAAAAGGGCAATGAAGAAAATTAAAAAAAAGAAATGATGAAGAAGAAGAAGAAAAAAAATCAAATAATATTAAAATAAGAATAAAGAATAAGCTGGAGACATTCAAGCTGGATGTCTACGTCAAAGATTATTCTCTGCGATATAATTAAAAATTCAAAGCTACTATCATATCATTCGTAGAAATGTTTATATGAAAAATGAAATAAGAAATGGTTTATGATGAAACCAATTGTCACATGCTATAGAAGAACATCAAACATAAGAACAAAACAAAAAGCCACTGAAAGTGTTAGAAAACGAGACAATCTCCACAATTTTTTTTTTACAAAAAAATGTGCTTTAAGAATTTTCGGTCTCTTCTCTCGTTTTTCGTTCTCATTTTTTTTTCTTTTTGAAACTTTCTCATAGATCACTCCGCAACATTCGTCGTTCCGGAATTCTTAATGTCTTTTCTGCAAGTCTGTATTTGCTGGAATGTAATCGGAAAAAAGGAATGCACGTTCTTATTCGCATTTTGTTCATGTTGGTAGTATATGTTCATGATTTTCATATATGTATTTGTTTTATCTCAATCAATGAAGGCATATCTTCATTTGCATACACGCCTACGTGGTGTATCCCACGCTGTTCACGTGAAAAGAGCGTAAAGACCATTTAATGGGTGAGACAGGCATGCATACTGGTTGTGTTTTTTTCTAACAGTTGAAGTATTGACAGAATGTTCATAAAAATTTATTTTTGCAATTGTCGTTTATATACAGATAGTCGTTTGACGATATCGGTACCACTACTGGAGCGGTCGTTTACTTTCGGCAACACTGTCCGTTGTGGTTTCCACAGGGAGAGTAGTTAGCTTGACATTGACACTGAAAATAAAAGAAAAAATGATACTTATTTGAAAAGAAATGTGTATTCTTTTACTTACAGTCGATTGGGTAGATTGTGGCAAACATGGGACAACTTGAGGTTGCTGCTGAACGCAAGATGTGCTGCAAGTTTGTTCACAGGCTGGAACACATTGAGTTGGAGTTTGATGCTGTTGGACGCATTGCTGTTGGCATGCTTGTTGGCATAAAGGCTGGCATTGAGGAGATTGAACAATGCTGGTCAAGAGCTGAACCTTAGAGTTAAAATAGACTAAATAATATTGATAAGATGTATCATACCTTAATTTGGACAGATGGAGCAGCGGTGGTGGTCTGAACTGGAGCACATGAAGCTTGGCATTGTTGGCATTGCTGAACTGGTTGAGCTGGGGCACAAGCTTGTTGGCATTGCTGAGTGCAAGGGTTTTGCTGAAACGTTACTATAAGTTATGATTTCAAAGAACAATATCCTACTTGGACCATAACGCAGACAGGTTCGCAAGCTGGCTGACAAGCTGGAGTACATTGGCGGGCAGTGACTGGAGCCAAAGTGGTAGTGATTACAGGAGCACAGACTGGAGCGCATTGCTGTTGGCAATGGTTTTGACATTGGTTAGAGGGGTTCTGTTGTACGCAGACTTGTTGGCATTGTTGCTGACAAGGTTGGCATTGAGGAGTTGATTGGCAAGAAGCTTGACACTGTTGTTCACATTGAGGAAGGCAGACAGAGATGGAAATGGATTGTTGGACACAAGAAGTTTGGCATTGTTGAACACATTGAGGTTCACAAGCGTGGCTAACTGTGACTGGTGGAAGAGTAACGTAAATTGGAGCATGGGTAGTTGTAACAGCTGGGGCGCAGGAAACTTTACAGGTCGAAATGCAAATTGGTTCGCAGTTGGGGATATGGGTAGCTTGGCACTGTTGGCTACAGGATTGTTGACAAGCTGGTTCGCATTGAGTTGTTTGAATCTGAATCACTGATTTTGTCAATGTAAGATCAGAAAGTACACACCTGGTAAACAATTGGAGCAGGTGTTGTGGCAGCACATCCGCAAGCGCTTGGGGTTTGTTGTTGTTGGCATGAGCAGGCCATTTGTTGTTGGGGAACAACGGGAGTACAAGCACATTGAGCTTGTTGCGGTTGAGCGCAGTTGCATTGTCGTTTCTCACGTAGGGCACTTGCCTAAGAAAACAATTATCTGCGAATAAAATGGAAAACTTACCGAAGTCAAAAGTAGACAACTAGAAAGGACGGCGATGGCGAGAGTGAATTTCATGTTTGATCAATTAAGGTGTTGAAAGCTGATTGATGTTCAACGACAACTCCAGCCGTATGTTTTCCGTAGATTATATACCTTTTGAGCTGACAATTGCTCGTTCAGAAGACCGGTGCCGAGAAGAAGATTTTTGTGCCGATCACTAATTTAATCCATGTAAAAAGTCTCCGTTCTATTTGTTTTAGAAGGAACTCATGGAAGCTCTCTGTTTTTTTGGGCAATTCCTTCATCACAACGCTGGTTTTCTACTGTTTGTTCTAGTTTCTGGTTTTGCACATTAGGGTACGTATAGTTAAATTTAATGTTTCATCGAAGATCAGAGTCATGTTTTCACGTCAGTACTAGAAAATAAATGACTGAATTCAAAAATTTTTGAATCGTTGCTTAATTTTCATGATTATATTCAGAAACTTGCTCTATTCAAGGAACAAATCTACATGCTTATCAGGAAATTCCCACGTCATTCACGTAGTGATTGCACGTTGGTATGTTTTTGATATTTGTTTTACCTGACGTAGCCTAAATGACCGGTTGTTCTCCACTGCATCGTTATATTCTTGAGTAGGTGAGTATTTGAGGAATTCTCCGAACGAACACTTCTTATGCTTTCATCATTATGGGATTGTCTCGCATATCCTTAATGAAAAGTATAGTTTCTGGAAATGGAAGTCATTATTCGTTCAAGTTGTACTTATTCGAACGAAGTTTTGAAACAACTAGTGTTTTGTAACATCGAAGAGTTTCAATACTGAAGGGTCTTCGCACATCAAGTCGTATTCTTGGCTGCAAGTTTTTTGTATCGTTCCCAGATACAATTGAGGTGTGCAATGTTTTATTAACCTTCCTACAAAAGCTGATTCAAAAGGTTGGCTGTTTTGAGTAGTATGTATCCAGACTCTCGAACCCCCAACTAGTTTCAATTGCTTTCTTTAATGCTTTCAATCAAATGAAAGTGTTTGAGTTTATTAAATTTGAACTATTTTAAAACAGGAGTTATCGTCCCATAGATAATCATTCCCACATACATATGAAATGCTCGCGGGATTTTCTCAATCATTTCATTTTCAGTGTTTTTACTGTTAGAGGCCTTGTTTTTTCATGAAAACATCATTGTTGAACGTCTTGTGAAGACCAAGTAATGAATTCGAACCCTCTTATCAACTCGTTAATTCTGATAATCGTAAGTTGTTTTCTTCTCCCATAACATACAAAGTAACATTTAAGATATGTGTACCTGGGTTGCTTGCAAATTGCATTTCGTGTTTTGTCATCTCACGCCACGGAACTTTCAAGTTCGTTTCAATTTTATTCAACAGGAAAAAATCATAATATATTAAGGAATGCTTTTGGCAAACTCAGTGCTTTCCATACATTCTCAAATAGCGTTCTGGTTTTCATTTTCCTTTTTTGGCCAGTTCCGATCGCTCTACTGTAAGCATAAACGAACGCCTCTGGAGTTATAACGTTTGTTTTAGGAATTTAGATTCTAGTAAGTTTCTGGAAACCAATAGACGAATTGGTCAGCTAACGGTGTTCTTCACGGAGTGCTCATACCACACTTGCTTTTTTATATCTTTGAATAGGTTTGCAAGTTAGAAGACCAACAAACTTGATCAGAGTACTCTAGACTGCTTGCTATTGGGCTGCCTACATATTCAAAAGTCATATTTAATGAATCGCGAACTAAGTTGATAATAATTTCTATCATTATAGTAGTTGGGTTATATACGAGCATTTATTTCTTTCGTAAAGTTTCTATCACATGTTCCATTATGAAGCTTCTCTTTCAGCCAGTTGTATTTTCTATTATGATTCCCAAACTAGCATATGGCTTTTTGATTCAACTGATTGCGGCAATCTGTTAGCAAAGTTTGATCTGATGTATAATGTAGGACTATTCATCATCATATGTATTTTGGATGGTATAACTTTGATACTTCTCAGAGGAGCAAACAATGTTAGCAAAGTCTATAAGATTTTTGAAGCCTCAATGTTTTTTATAGCGCATACGAGCCAGTCTCAAATCATTCAGTGTAGAAGAAGTTCAGAAAAGGCAGAGACGAGAAATTCTTTTTTTCAGTCAAGTATGATGGTACAGCAGTAAATAACCGAATTATGAAATTTCAGGCTCTATTGGGCACAGTTGTCTATGTCCTCATGATCCTATCTTTTCATGTCCTCAGTTTGAATTTAGAGAACGTTTTTTATATTTATTTGGCCACGACCGTGACGTGGGCAGCAGCACATTCCTGTGGAGGGTTGGTTTATCCATAATTCTATTTCTACAATGATGAATATTCTAAGATTGATAGTTTTTTTCTTCAATGTTGAAATACGTAAAGGATTCACGAGTTGGTTCTGCCAGCGTATGGGTACCAGTTATAATAAGAGACCGTTGACAACTCCAGTTATGGTCTCAACCATGTGAATGGCCATATTAGTATTAGTAGAAATATTAGTGTGAATAATTGATCTCAATAATAAATAAACAATTCAATAATAGTTTTCGAACATTTTTTCACGAAACACTAGAAAAATTATTAAAGCAAGTTCATTGGGTCCTCTTCAATAGCGCAGGTGTTGCCAGCTGAGACCAAATTTCTCATAATTTGATTGAAAATTTCAAAATCCCATGTTTTGGAAGTTTGAACTTTATTCAATGCCAAATACCTCATATATCAAATTAACTCCTTCTTTTTCAGATGACGCTCTGACAATGAGAAGGCACAAACTGAGCTAAGAATATCTTGACCAAAGAGATTAAAAGGATCGAGGGTTAACTAACTATAATTTTTTCCCAACAAAGTTGTTCTCAGTCTCTGTTTCAACGATCATCAGGATAACACCGGGAACTATTTTCTTTTTTTGTTATTTCAATAGATGATCAAACAAAATTCAAGAACATTATGTGTTTGTTTCTCGAACTGTGAAACTTAATGTCTTCTTTAATTGAGCTCGAAGAGAGCCAACCTGTGATTCTCTCAGTATGAAAATCCTTCCTTGTTTGTTGTACTGAAAGAAAACAAAATATAATCAGAGAACTGAGTTCTTTTGGAAACAGTGACGAAATAGTGAAAGTTCGAACATTCCCATCGTTTTCTTTCTCGCAAACTTTCGTTTGCAGATCGAACAGAAGATCTCTTAAGGTGATTTTCTCTCAACGAACTTCAGTCATAAGTTGATTAATGGTTGGGAAACAAATCGGAAGTTAGTTGAAAAAATTGTAAAAAAAACCTTGTAGTGTCGGAAACCTAAGACGTTTAACATCTTAACATGTGCAAGTAACAACTCAAATAGCAGCGTAGATACTATTTGCAAACAAATTTCTGTTTGAATGCATCGTTTCCAGGAACACAACTACTCAAACAAAATAATTCATCAACCTTTTCATAGTTCCATCCCGAATTTAAACGAAATCAGCCAATCGATCGATGTTCTCACTTGGTTGGACCGATTTATTTACTTTTTTGGTTTTCAAAACTATCCGGAAGTGAGGGAGTATATAGATTGAACTTTGGTAAGAACATTGAGAGTACAAATTCGTCCTTGCCGTAAACGGGGCGGGAAAAATGTTTTGGTGAACACCCCGAATCACTATTTCTTCGTTTATTCGTCATCGTAGCTCTTTGATATTTGCGTTTTTTATTTCTGCGATAGCGATTCTTAGAACTGCTGGAGTCTTTTGACGCACAATGGGTCTTCATCTGTCTAAGGTTGAAACAGAAACCTTTACAGATCGTTGGTCTGTTGGAGGAAGTCGCGTGCAGAGTTTCCAAGAACTGGCGCCTCTATCGACTGTTTTCTGTGTAGGACCATTAGTTTGAAACAGTCATGTTTTCATTCGGGCGGTAGAATTTCGTCATTCGCTCAGAGGAATCGTTCTGAATCATTGAGCGTTGATCGTTATTCGTTATAGTTTTGTCTCCTTTTTCGCTGTATTTTATTGGTATTTCTTAACTGATCAGTTCAAGTGATTCTTCGAATTCTATTGAACGATCTCTTCTCATTACTTTCTGTTTCGCTATGCTGTTTTCTTCTGTAAGCTGAGGCTATTCATTCGCAAAAGACCTTATTTCTTTGTCGCCTGAACTCTCTAAATATGCTTCATCAGTAAACTTTTCTGCGCTCTCTCAGCCTTCAGTTCTGTGTAAACCTACGTTTCCCCGCCTACCACGACCCACTCATGCAACAGTCCTTCAGCTGCTGCAGCACCACAAAGCTCTTGATGTTACCCTTCACTTCTTTCTTAATTTATTATTTCTGATATTCATCTTAGACTATCATTAGATCTTTATAAGTCCATTGATCCAACAATTACCTTTTCAGCAAAAATCATGTGTGACGACGAGGTTGCCGCTCTTGTAGTTGATAATGGATCTGGTATGTGCAAGGCCGGATTCGCCGGAGACGATGCTCCACGTGC